GTTGGCTTTGTGCGAATCAAATATTCGGCGCCTAACCATTCCGCTTTGTTTGTTCCCCATAGTATGCCTGGTATTTCAATTATAACAACACGGCCAAGCACGTGTAGGGCGCCAGGCAGATACATAATTACATCATCCCCAAAATAGGGCGGTATCCATTTTCATGATAAGTCCAGGCAGTTGAATGCCGAAATCCTGGCTCCACAGTAGGGTGATTTGTCTAAGTTGGTATTCTATCCAAGACGAAATCCCCCACTGCCAACATTGGGCATAAGTTTCTTGAGGTGGACTCAATTGGGAATATACGAAGGTCGAACAGAATGATGTACATATACCGCTGTGGGCCAGGCGGCCAAAACGAGATAGTCGTACCTATTAGGCCTAAACCACCAATTCGTCTTACTGACGCTGGGTGAGTTTTGGACTCCCGTGGGGTTTATCTAGTCTGGGGTTTGTTTATGTTAGTACTTGTTTGGTGTAGATCGCTGCTCCGAAGATTCGACATTGAGTACGTATTGAATTCTGCCGAAGAATTCCTCGGCCTGGCTTTGCCAATGCCGACGGTGCCTTATACGTATCACTGTGATCGTTCAGTTTCCCAAGAGCTGAACGAGCTCCATTTCTGAGGCTGACACGGAACCCCAACCCCATCTTGGACACGAGAGCCTCTAGGGTGCCGCGAGGCATGTATCCCAGACCAGTCCCGTACTAATGATCATGCACAGCTAGTGTCTTGGCGCCCATTGTGCCAGCACTCGTTTACACTCGGCCACTCCGTCAACATTGGTCTGACCCTAACCGCCACGTTAGCACGCACGGCCCGGTCTGTTTGGCGAATGCCGCGAGGGATAAGAAGGATAGCTGGTAGCGCCAGGATAGTGCGATGTAGATGCGTGTGTTCAATTGGCGACGCCTGCCCATTGTTGCTCCCTCCATTCAACCAGCATCATTGCGCAGGAGAGGATGGTGCCTGTTTCTTTGGAGTTCCACTGTAGCCCGGTCATGACATGCAGTGGACTAAACCAAGTCAGTGCCCGCCGGCATTCTGGAGAGATTCAGAGCCCTGCGTGCATCCATAGCACTACTACCATGCTGGGTCTACGGCGACCCTGTGCCTGGACGGATCTTGGCATCCGCGCAGCTAGCCCCAGGTCCTCACGGCCGGTCCTCAGACCTTCAGTGCCTGATTTGAGTAGCCTCCATCCCTCGTAGCGACCTCCAGCGCACCACCTGTGCTGCTGTCCGATCCCGAGATGCGTCTGCTGGTGCTAGCAAACACCATACCCACAGTGACGCACTTGGGGTCCGGGTATGCCAGACCCCGGCATACGCTGGCTGGGGCTCAGGCGACCATCACCACCACCACCACCAACGACATCAGGGCTGTGCAGAGCCAGGCTATGCCGCTAACCTACCTTACCCGGCCACTGCAGTTCCGGTACCTGCCTCCCAACATGTGCCCCTAACAGAGCAGGTCCGTATTGCAACCCAGGCCGGCGAGACCCTTCGCTGGTCCTAGGGTCCTACCCGCCTTAGGACCTAGGTAGGTGCTAGGCCCCAGGTACCTGAACCCTCCCACAGCCACATCTCAATGACCCAGTGGGAGCCACAGCGAGTGACAGTGGCTGGCCCAGGGCCTCCAGCTCCACCAGTCTGTCCACTGCACTGCGCGCCTGCTTGAACGAGGCATAACAGTAGCACGTATTGTTACTAGCAGCTTAGCAGGTTAGTAGCGACGGGCACTGCGCTGCACCAGACTCCTCCTCTCCAGCTTTCCTCAGCCCGTATCCCACATACAGAAAGTCCTCCCGTCCCACTGCCACCGTACCGTCCCCCCCAACACATCGTATTCTGTTTGACCAGGCCTTTTTTCTTCCCCTTTAATAAAGCGCACCACCCTCTCCCACCACGATTTGTCAAGCGATAACATCTCACCCGGGTCCCTTTTGCTCGCGACGAATTGAACCGACCAAACACTCCGTGGCCTGCCGAATCCTCGACATTGAAATAGCCCATTGTTCCGTCATTCTCCAGCGAGCGCGAAGAGCCACCCATCGGTCCATAAGCACAAGTCCTACAGCTTTGTAGACCCTCCCTTCGATCATCTCTCGTACGAGTGCGGGTAGCTCACCGCCCCGAGATTCCTTATGGCGAATGCGAGCCCCCAAAATGTTATCCGCAGGTAGATTCTTTCTCCTCAACCCCGTGCTCGATGGATGGGCCTGTTTCTGCTTCTTGGAGGCTCTCCGGTCGCCTCCTCTGGGTTCATATGCTAACAGGACGTTCTAATAGGAAGCTGGTCATCATTGGAGATGGTGCATGCGGCAAGACCAGTCTTCTGAGCGTCTTTACCTTGGGCTACTTTCCAACTGTATGTTTCACCCTCTTGATTCTCTCGAGACAAAATTACTGACCAAGCACCGCAGCATTATGTTTGTTTTACCGAAACCGATATAGCCTAAACGTGCCGCAATACTGACAACCGAGACAAGATCCCTACCGTATTTGAGAACTACGTGACCGATTGCAGAGTGGATGGAAAGAACGTACAGCTTGCGTTGTGGGATACAGCTGGCCAGGAAGATTACGAGCGTCTACGACCTTTGGCATACTCCAAAGCCCATGTTATCTTAATAGGGTTTTCCGTCGACTCCCCCGACTCACTTGACAACGTCAAGCACAAGGTTTGCCGCAATGTCCTTCTACATGGTGTCTATCTGGGCGGATCACTGACCATATCTCAATAGTGGGTTGAGGAAGCCACCCGCCTCTGCACCGGTGTTCCCATTATCCTCGTTGGTCTCAAGAAGGATCTTCGCGAGGACCCCGTGGCTATCGAGGAGATGCGAAGGAGATCACAGCGATTCGTCACGAGCCATGATGGCGAGGTAGCCGCGCGCGAGGTCGGTGCCAAGCGATATCTTGAATGTTCAAGCTTGAGTGGTGAAGGCGTGGACGACGTGTTTGAGGCAGCCACGCGTGCGGCCCTCTTGACGTTTGAGAAGGGTGAGGGCGGAGGTTGCTGCGTTGTTCTGTGACGTGGCTTTCGCGAAGTCTGGAAAAGATTCATGCCCCGTCATGGTGTACCCCTCAATACTTTCACCTAATGGCATTGGTAACGTTTGAGACGCTACCACACCCGACCTAGTCCTACCCTGACCCTAGGCTACAGGATCAGATATTCTGCTATCCACGTACGATGGATCGAGCGGGAGGTCAAGCGGGAGGACGAACATTGCCGTCCGTCTCGTTCTCTCCTACTAGCAATGCTGCGCATCTGACCATAATCACCCCACCACCATGTCTTGGATTTTTTTTCTCTCTATCTTCTTGGCTATCCTGTCATTTACTACCCTCTTTCGTTTATCGGACCCAGTTCTGTTGTCATTTATGAGCGAGACGTTTTACTCTCTAATAGCGGCCGGCGCTCGGAAAAGGGGAAGTTGGCCAAGTGGCAGCCTTTCACTCTCTCTCTGTATCACCAATTGCGCCTTCTATTGTCTTTGTGCGGGTACCATAGAGCAAGCTGGTGAAGTTTCCTGTTCTGTCGTTCCGATCTTTCCTATTACAATCTTCCCTGGAGGTGGACAAAAAAGCGCATGATATATCGGGTACTACTTGGAGATTTGTCTAGCTCTTGGTACGTAATGAAATTGTTATGACTTCTCACACGTCTCGACGGGCTCATGGCCCAAGTGGTTACATGTCATCAATATATCGAACAGCCTGGGCACGTCGTGCTCGAGTACAATACAGTATGGGCATTATTTTAAAGTGCGGTTGTACATAGTCCCCAATAATAATAAATAATACAGTTTGGTTGTGACGATCCTGCCCTCCACACGTTGTCCATTGAGCGAGGAGAAAGGCCCATTTACCTCTTCCAATCATGGTTCCATGCCGTCGTGGCCGGGCTGTCGGTTTGGAACCTGGCGTACTCGATAGGGACGGCATTGAGACCCCACACACCCTTCTTCTCCATGGCAACACGGTACAGGTAGCCCTCGCTCCTGTCCCCGGGGCCAGACACCTTCCTCAGCTCCTCGCAGGCGTTGAACATGCCGGCGTTGATCCTCACGCGCTCCTTGTGTGTGGCCTCCTTCTGCTGCCGGCGGAAGAGCAGCCACGCGCGGTGGATGGTCCAGTGCCGCAGGTACCGGAGGCGGGCCATGCGGAGGGGCGGGGGCGCGGGGGAGAAGAGGTTCTGCTTGAGGATCTTGACGCGGGCGTAGAACTCGCTGCGCTGGTGGCCCTTGTTCCGGCGGGGGGTGACGCCGATCTTGGCGGCCTTTGCGCGCTTGGCTGCCTTGCTGAGGAGGGTGGTGGTGGTGGAGAGGAGGCGGATCGGGGCCATTGATGTGTGGGTGACGGACGAGGCGACGCCTGAGAGGAGTGGCTGGCGGCTGAGGCCGCGCAGGGAGAATAAGGACGCCATTGTGGGGGATCTGAAGGTGTAGTATGTGTTGAGAAATCGGTCCTTGGGGTGTCGACTTTTTCGACCTCTCGTCTTCTTTTTCGTCCCTTCCCCTCCTTTTTGTAGCAATCGACTCCTTCTATCTTCTGCCCGATCGTAGACCCCGAAATGGCCTATTCGTTAACCAATTGATCGGTCGTGCCGTCTGTCTGACTTGGTCGGGGAGGCTCGTTGTCCAATTCGCTGACGAGGAGTGGTCTTCTTCGGTTAAGAGCGGGCGTTTAAGGAGCACAATATTGAGCCTGACTGGGGTGCACTATACTGAATCTCGGATAGAACCTTCAATTTAAGCTCTAAACTCAAGTGCGACCTTTGTAGATGGGCGGGAAAGTGTGGTGCTGTTGTAAGGCTCGCCACGAGATTGTTGCGGTCAATGGCCTCCGGAGGGAGCCTGGAGAGAGCGTGGACAGCACACTGTATTTGATGCCACACGTTATCGAGAAACTGGTAATAGTAAACGCCGAGGGGATCGGAATTATAAAACTGGTGTTTATAGTACTGGTGGATGCTCTGTGAACTCGCCTCGTTAATAATTTTGCTGGTGAGGGAATGGGGTGGAGTGGGGATTAACATTATTCCGGCTGGCCCATCAGCCGCCACTCAAACGGTGTGATGTGTAAAGGACTTACTTGAATGCGATTAAGCGAGCGTGAGTTTGCCCAAATGAAGCAGACTTTGGTGCTTCTGGGATCAAAGAGCTCATGGAAAGCTTCTTTCTTCATGAACTCACTCTCTAGACGTGCTGCATCTTTAATCTCAAGTCCCATCATGTACGAAACGCTGTGTCTCAGCATCTTGAGGTTCGCCCTGAGGTCGATCGTCCCTCCTATCGCCTCGAGTTCATTCAGGATATAGGCCGTCTCCGTGAGCACCCTATTCCTCTCCAGTTGCTCGCAGATCCGCCCTGGGGCTATTTCCCCGAATATGATGTTCCAGAGCTCAACCAGCCTCACCAATCCTTCTATCGGACAGAGACTGGGGAGCGATGCCAGGTTGATCTCTGGGAGTCCTACCCTGCCTCCTTCCCAGGCTACCACGCAAACAAGAGCGCGGACAGCGTGCGGTAAGAGTGTGCAGAGCCGCGCTATGTACTCTTTCGGAGCCCGTGGAACTTGACCGTTGTACGTGAACTCGCCCCTGTCAGCTGGCGCGTCAGAGTCCCTGATAGGGGGCGACCTGGGATGCTCAACGACACCATCCGCCGACATCGTGATTGTCGCGTAGCTCTGCCCGGTGATGCGCCGCCTCGGTGGCTCGTAGTTGAAGATGGGAGTCCCCCCTTTGTGCTTGCAGTAGAATCGCGAATCGGTCAGGTCCTGTCGAACGGTGACCGTCTTGCCCTGACAGACCTTGACTTGCATCGTGTGGAACAGATCATCGGCTTCACGCCACCTACGGTTCTCTGCAAAATTGTGTCTGCGTTTTCCGTCTTGCTTCACGTAGTGTTCGGCCGCTTCGGTGGCGTCGTTGAATACACGTATCGACTCTGGCTGCGCTGCCCGCCAGACACTCGACAGCTTGACTCCGTCTTTCTCTCCAGCCGCGATAGGCGCCGCGTTTGTAAGCCATCTGCGGTCCTCGCGGCATTTAGATTCGATGATGTCGTAGTTGTCTCGGTCAGGTCCGGGAACCACTCGCCAAGCGGCATTGTAGGGTCTGCCGGCGTTTAGAAGATCGCGGGCATGGGCAAGGGACATAGACATGCCGGCAAGGGGAATCGATATAGCAAGTTCTGGTTAGATGCACTCAGTTGGAGATGAACACGCAAGTAAGTCTTGTTGAGAAAGACGATCAGAAGGGTTTCTCGTTGGTTTTTGTATTGGAATAACTACACTGAATCGATGCTACATGTTGTTTGTTGATACTGAAGTGACCATACTTGGTTTGCTATTTGTTAACAATAGAGGTGCGTGAACAAATGAAGAAGTGATAATTCGCACTAAACCGCTGAAAATGAAATCCATCTGAATCACGCAACTGAGTGGAAGCAAACGCGGACGGGAACAACGATGTTTAGCCAACGCAGGCTGTGGCAGTGTTCCAGTGGTGATGAGAGGCCGTCTCGAGCTGCCTTCACGGGGCCAAGACAAACCATGATAGAGCAAACGGGTGTTGCCGTCTGTTCTCGAGGGCGTGACCCACCTGGGCTATAATTGGATGAGCACATGCGTAAATAACCAAAGAAGTTTGATCTGTTTGGGTTTACGTCTAAGGCTGCCGTTTTTGAAGCGCTCGCCCAGGTCACGCCCCAAATGACCAGAAACAAGATGTTAATTTTCTCTTCATCAAGCCACTTTTCTCTCTAGTATGATGAAAATTTCAAACAATAATCCAAAACGTTTTATGGGCTTGCGCTGATGAAAAGCTTGTGCGCCCTGGTTTGCAGTAATTTAATGACAAGAAGCAACGCCCCAAAGTAAATAATGCCACTTTCATGTAGAAAACTCTTCGAGGAACCCGAAGCATAGAAATGAGTTTAATGATTGTACATATATTGCTATGACTCTGAAGATTCTTTTTTTCTATTCTCCCATGCCCTTGTTTCCAAATATTCTCAGCTTCGGCATCCCACCAGGTCAACAACAACAACATCCGTCTAAGAGCGCTTGATTCTCTCATCTTTAATCTTTATCCAAAGTACTCAGTCAAATATCTACCTTTTTTCAACCTCTAATCCTATCTAATACACCATGTCACGCCAAACTCGATATGAATTTCCCCCAAGTTTCCCGTCAAGGAGACTGTCATCCAGTTCTCGAACAGAATCCAGTTCTCGAACGGAGCACAGCCCAGATGAAAGATCCCCAACAAGATATGAGAACACTAGAACCAACATCCCCGTATCATTGAGAAGCTTCCGACGCACATCAGAGGTAGGATGCTTTGGGAACTGGACCTTCCGCTCACACCGAACCGATAGGGACGAGGCGTCTGATTCAGGAGACTCCGAAGACGAGGAGGCAGCCGAACTCTCAGATGACGAGGGGTTCTGGAATATGTCCCGTCGTGCAGACGCCCAACAACTGGAACCTGTCCAGTTAGAGCCAAGTCAGACTTTGGCAAACCGCGCACGAGGCGTGCTGGATGATATTACAACATCAGCCATAAATCACCTATCCAACTTCTCAAGCACCCAGCCGAGAGAGCTCATTTTCGACGACGAGAATGTCGTCGTGGTCTATGATTACGACGAAGAAAGGGAGCAGGAAGTCCCCCAGTTCGACTTTGCCGTCCCCATCGGCCCGCGGGTACAGGAGTCGTACCGCTTCGAGATCGAGCACCCAACGGCCGCCCCGGCCATCAGATATCTCCACGGCATCCCGACCGCCCGCCACCTGGCAGCCCTGGGCCGCGGGATACAGCACCATTCCGTGGCCGGCTTCAACACCCTGACGGATGCGTACGGCCGCGTGGCGGAGACCTACACCACGGCTGCCGAGAACATCCAGCCGGCCCTCCGCATCGGCTGGGAGGTGGCGGCCGACGTTGTGGAAGAGGCGAGGGGGCTCCGGGATGCTGCGCAGGAGCAGTGGCGGGAGTGGTATCCGTGGCTGGACCGCATGTTCGAGGCGACCGCGACCGGTCCGGGACGTCCACGGCGTGGTAGTATGATGAGATGAGCCGGGACTGGGTTTCGGAGCGGAATGTCCAAGGCTGTGTCATCTCACGGGTTCTCTAGGACTTTCTTCTTTGATGGTTTGAGGAGGAATAGAACACCCCGTTGGGGAAACAATATCCTGGGCGTATTTTTATGGATGGATATGGCTATATTACATGGTTGCTTTTTGCGTTACCAGCTGGCTTGTCGAAATAGCAGTATGGACGGCGTCAGGGAGATATGGAATTCAGCGACACGAGCGTTACTTTGAATATAAATTTAGGCTAATAAAAAAGCTTTATCTTATTTGACTCTGGTTGCAAAAGCGATTTGGCATGAGAAGTGATGGTGATTGAGTCAAGAGTATGATCGGTGTTTGCCCAGAGTGATTCGGTAAGGGATAGCTTTCGTATTAAGTCACGCTTCATTGAACTCTTCTACTTCATATTTTTCCAAGAGCTCAATGAGACTCAAGTTTTGTCTTCATCTTTTAAAGTAGAGATTATCATTATGACGGATAGACACAGTAACAACACAGATGGATGCTCTGCCTAGACATTACAACCCAGTTCACAAGCCAGATGTCCACGATGCTTGAAATTAAGGCTGCCTGTTGTCCACTAGCATAAGACTGAAATTCTTGAGATCGTGAGCGAACCATGTTGTTTTTGTTACGGCTTAGATATGGAGGTCGGTGCTTGACCAAAGAGTATTGGACTTGTGCCTTCACAGTCTGAACAGAATCAGAGACTCAGCAGGATTACATGCAGCGTGAATGAGCCAACTAATTTACTCTTATAATCTCGACGAGTCATTATATATCAAAATAGTTTTACGGTCTTGCTGTTAACAAATCATCCAAATGTAACTATTGACTTTTCTTCCTGGCCCAATTCTGAAGTCTCCTTGAATTACTGAAAGACGAATACAAGTGCAGGCTCCTTAGAAACTCCTCTATCGTAAAGTAACATTAGATTTTGTTGCCCACTATAGAGACAACAGATAGATATCGCGTATCTGGATATTATGATTCCCCAGCCTGGGGCGTGTCTTTCGCCTTAGCCTCCTTTGTCAAGAGGTAAGCCTCATGATGCAAGCCGTACGCCTTAGATCCGAGCTCATCCTTATTTTCGTGGATAAAGGTTTTAACAGCCGCGGGAATAAAAAAGCCATTCTCATCCTTGATACTGTCCCCTGGAACAACCCCATGTGTCTCCTCACCCTCCAAAATGATCTTCTTCAGTGCCTTGAGAAGGCAACCCCGGTACGTGATGGACTTGGTGTCAGACAAGTCTGCTTCTGGAACCTGGACCTTGATGACGTTTTTCCAAATGGCGTCTCTGTCTCTCTCGAGCAAAAACTCTTGGCGCCGCTGCTCAAACTCCTTCTTCACGGTAAACCTGTCCATCGCCTGCTGCGTCACTTCCTCTCTCGTGAGACTCAACTCTCGAAATCTGCCTTGCTTGCTGCACTCAGGCACGAACTCCTCGATCCACTTCCGGAATATTGGCCGGTAGTTCATCCTCCGGCGGTCGTTGGCTTTGAGCTTTCTTTTCGGTGGGCCTTCCGAGGCTGCGTTTCCTTCGCTGGATGTGCCACCAGTATCGCTTCCCTCCACGGACCGCGGTACCGAGAACATTCGGCACTGTGCGGCATACTCGTACAAGTCGTTGAGAGTGGCAAACGGGCCGTCCCAGTAGCCTGGTGTAGGCAGACCTATAAAATCCATGACCTCCTCGGGATCGGACGTAAGAAAGACCTTGGCTCGCTTTCGATTCAAATTCTCTATTTCTGGGACACGCAGCCACAGGGCGCCCTCGTCGGCAGTCAATCCGAATGGACGGATGGTAGAGCCCAGGATATTCCAGATATCGCCGTGAGCATGCTTGAACAACTGCCACTGTAGCTTTTTCAAGTCATCGCAGATACGGACATCGACCTGGATGTGTGGAGCTACCGCGGGGATTTGGGATTCCGACTGTTCTTCCCCTTCTGCGCTTTCTTTGGCCGTCGGAGGGTGGTCCACGTCTGAAGGCCACGGGATGGCGAGGTTGGATGAGCTCTCTGGAATGAAAATCACTCTAACGGCACCCAGTGCTTGGGCAACTTGTCTGACCCCGGCTTCGTTATCTTGTGGAAGCCCAGGCTTGGGACCAAAGAGGAGAATATCTATATCGCCGAAGTCTTCTTTTCCTGGGCCCTCGATGGGCGAATCAACAACCTCGTACATCTCGCGCAGAATGGAATGGCAGCGCTCCTTGACTAGAAGGTAGACATTTTTGGGCATGCGTGGAGTTGGAAGGGGGTCGGGACCCGAAGCGAAGGCGTTGCCGCCCATTCTAAGACGCTTACTTGAGCAGAGAAACTAAGTTGAGCGAGATATTCGGGTTTGTTGCTCTTGTGCGGCGTGCAGAATGTGGGTTGTTGATGAGGGTGCGTGAAGTTGAATGAGGGAATCAAGTATGAGAATGTGAGGTTGATGATGAGGCAAGTTAGGAAGTGCGTGGAGTGAGAAGAGGAGGCAGGAGCAGGTGAGCAGCCGCGCGGGAGATGGAGCGGGCAATTCAAATGTGAACAAGCTTGCTCAAGCGGCAGAACCCTTGCGGATCAAGGCACTAACAGTATACAATTTGAAAGTCAATATTTCAGAAAGTTTCGCAGGTGATAAGTATCAAGGTAAATTCCATCTCTTGATGCTTTATACTTCCTGTTTATAGGTAAGGTTTGTACTGGGCTGAGCGCTGTAGGCGCAGCGCTGAATGACTCACTGGCCGCTTCAACCTCAAGCAGTCCAGAGTCATGCAGGCAAGCGAAGTGGTCTCCATCGTGCAGCCCAAAAAGATGGTCAGAAAATGTATTTCCCGGCGAATTGATTCCCAAATCTTGTCATGATATTTGAGATTCTCTCCAGGTATTCGTAGTTGAGGTGGATGCGCAGAGGTTCTCCAACCGTGCTTCCTGTGCGCACTTCCTCTGTCATACGGGCACAACACAACAGTCACTCAACCAATGAACATGAAAATACTAAATACCGACTGCCCCCAAGGAGAATATTTTAAGCTTACTCATGGGCGCAGCCGGAAAGGTTGGACAGACCGCCGCTTGGTCTCACTTTGTTTCAACATGCTACGCACCAAGACATGTCAAGTCTTGTTCTTGGAGCAGGGAGAAAGAGTCAGGTAGGAGGCAAGGAGGATGGTCGGAATAGAGACTTTCGTGCTCAATATGGTGCAGTGAGACAAGACATGCACGGATGTTGTGAGCCACGAGGGGCGAGTGAGACAGTCACCGTTGCGTTCCATGCATTTCGTAGCACGCAATGCCAGCCATTCCCACTCGATAGTTCCATAAACTCCCGGATAAAAAGACCTCTGGCACCTTCTCCTCTTCGCTCAGAAGCAAGGAGAGAAATCGGGGACAGGCAAGAGCGAACCAAGGTGCTTGAGGTACTCTTATAATTAGAGCACCACCCTGAATATCAGAAGTCACCCAAAATACCGAGAAACCATCATGCGTTGGCTTTCAAGCATCCTAATAGCCCTTGTGGCGACAGCCTCTGTCTCTGACGCTATCAACACCAGCGACAAGGACATGGAATGCACCGACGGCCTTTACATCGTCGTCGCCAGAGCCACAAACGAGCTGCCCGGCCCAGGTGAAAGCGGACGCATCGCCAACCGTGTGGCCGACCGCATTCCCGGATCCAAAGTTGTTGGCCTTGATTATCCGGCCCAGTTTATCCAACCCTTCTACATTGATTCGCAGAGAAAAGGTCAGGAGGCCCTCAAGGCAGTCCTGGAGGACTACGTCGACAAATGTTCCAAGGGGAAATTTGCAGTGATTGGTTACTCTCAGGTATGTATCGAATAATCTTCGACGTTCAACTAGGCTGATCAACGAAACAAACAGGGTGCTCAGGTCACTGAGGACATCATCTGCGGAACCAGCGGAGGTCTCTTCAGCAAGGTCGAGCCAATCAGTTTGAAAATAGCCCAAAGCAACTGTAAGTCCCATAATCAATGCTCGCTGGAAGATAGGCCATAAGAAAGGAACTTACATGAATATTTCCCGGTCCAGTGATTGCAGGTATTCTCTTTGGCGATCCGACACACGTCAAAGGCTCCAACTTCAACTTTGGCACTGCCCCATACAGCGGCGTGAGTAATTTGCCCCTCGTCTATGCTGATACCACCAATGCATATTGTTATTGGTTAGATCTGGAACCGCAAATCGAGCAGTGTCGACCGTTGCGAGTCCCTTTCCGATCGCATCCGGTCCTACTGCGACAAGGGCGATGCGTTCTGCGACAAGGGGTCCGCTGTCGACGAGGAGGTACATCGTGCATATGTGAAGCTCTACGGTGATGAAGTCGTTGACTTCATTGCCCAGCGCTGGGAAAACGTCACGGGAAGCAGTCCGAGGCGGGAAAGTGCCGAGAGCATCAAGAGGTGGGGAGGGCCAAACAGCTCAACCTACAACGGGAGCACCCAAATTTCCGGTGACAAGACCGGCGGCGGTGGTTCTGAGAATAATTCGAACAAGAGCAATACCAATAACGGCGAGGGCGGGAATCCAGATGCTGAAGAGGGGGCTGCTGCCAGTCTCCGACTCATTGCCGGCTTGATCCATGCCGGGTTACCACTGTTCATTCTCTGTCTGTTTCACATACTTCATTAAGCCCATCCCTCTGGAACACACGAGAAAAGAGAAAAGAGAAGAGAAGGGGAAGAGGAACCGATAGTTGAGATGAGGCTCCTTGCAAAAGTGACTGGTATGTCAATGCCGAGAGACCGAACAAGCATGAACCGCTGGCCCGAGCTTCGGAACGGTTCGTCCAATGTTTGGATTTCAGTGGTTCGGTGTGACGAAGAACTGAAATCACTTTCCACAAGCTTATTATATAGGTAGATGACCAAATCCCGAAGGCGTACAGAGTTTCCCTTTATTCATGGACTAAGATCCCGCCGGTTTTGAAGGAACCACGGCATCAGTCCCCGGCTCGGTTCCACATTTCTAGCGGCTTCGGCTCGGGGCTTAAAAGGGGCCCGTGGAGTTATTTTTTACTTTATCCCAGCCTTTCTGGATGCGCTCATCGAAGGATTGGTAATAATCCAACACCGGGTCGTCATCAGGTCGTCATTTCGGCCGTCATAATGTGCTCGTTGGTTCCGAACGAGGTTGTCTGGCAGAGTTGATTCCTAAGCATCCAAATCGAAGGAAATGTTTTCCTGTTGAGGAAGTTCATCGCGTAGCAGCTTTGTGGGGGCTTTTACCGCTCATTGCTTCTTTAATAGGGATAGTTCCCTCCTGTTTCCTGTGCCTGTCCTCGTTGGGTTCAATTCCCAACTGCGGTGGGATAAGTTGACGCTGTCATCTCCGTCAAACTCGGCAGCAAGCCAACCTACTTTACACTGCCATTGGGATCAGAACTGTCCCTCTCTTGAAAGAAAGGACAAGCCTCGAGCAGAACACCCTTCCACCATGGCGGTGGCACAAGACAGCCCACCTCCGGCGGAAACCCTGGGCGTTTTGGCTGCTCACGGAGCCGATCCGCCCACGACTCCGGCTCCGGAAACTCCAACGATGTGCAATGAGGAACTGGAACGCCTCGGCCGCCAACGCCCGGAGATCCTCAAGTCCTGGCTGGTCGAGGTCAGCTTCGTGACGACCGTGGTCCTCTCGATGATGATGAGCGAGTACTTCATCAGCGGCTTCTTCATCTGCCTCCCCGCCGTCGCCGTCTCCCTCGACATGCCCGACTCGGTGCGCACCTGGCCCGCGGCCGTCATCAACCTGACCACGGCCTGCCTCCTGCTGCCCTTCTCCCGCCTCGCGGACAGGCACGGCGCCAAGGTCGTCTTCCTCTCCGGCCACGCCTGGCTCGTCGCCTGGTCCCTCATCAGCGGCTTCAGCCGCAACTCCACCATGCTCATCGTCTGCCGCGCCATGCAGGGGCTCGGCGTCGGCGCCTTCATGCCCACGGGCATCGCTCTGCTCGCCCGGGCCTACCGCCCGGGCCCGCGCAAGAACCTCGTCTTCAGCCTGTACGGCGCCTTCGCCTGCATCGGCTTCTACGTGGGCATCTTCTTCGGCGCCCTGTCGGCCGAGCTGCTCACCTGGCGCTGGTACTTCTGGCTCGGCTGCATCATGTGCGCCCTCGTCTTCCTCCTGGGCGCCTTCTCCATCCCGCGCGGGCTCGGCGCGACCGATCCCTCGGCCCAGATGGACTGGTGGGGTGTGTGCACCATCGTGCCCGGGCTCGTACTCGTCGTGTTCGCCTTCACCAACGGGTCTCACGCGCCCGACGGCTGGCGCACGCCCTACATCTACGTCACCCTCATCATCGGGGCCCTGCTGCTCTGCGCGGCCGTCTACTGCCAGGGCTGGGTGTCGAAGCAGCCTCTGCTGCCGGCCGAGATCTTCCGCCCCAAGTACATGAAGCGGATGCTGGGCGGCTTGTTCTGCCTGTACGGTGTGTTTGGGCTGTTCCTCTTTTATGTGAGCTTCTAGTAAGTCTAAAATCCTCAACTGCTAACCAACCCACCTGTACGTCTCATCTGACCACCTTTCTAAGTATTGAGGAAGCCTTGCATATCGGACCACTCCTCGCCGCAGCGTGGTTCACCCCGCTTGCAGTGGGAGGGATGTTCCTGGCCATCTGCGGCGGATTCCTGCTCCATATCTTGCCGAACCGCATACTCATGATCATTTCCGAGCTCGGCTTCTTCCTGTCCGTGCTCCTCTTCGCCCTCATCCCCAGACGCTCCAGCGACGGGGACCCTTCCATCTCGTTCCTGTATTGGGCCTATGTCTTCCCAGCTATGATCTGCGGGACAATCGGCATAGACATCACCTTCAACGTGAGCAACGTCTTCATCACCACGGCCATGCCGCAGCGGCTGCAGTCGACGGCCGGGGGCCTCATCAACAGCGTGCTGTATCTCGGGCTGGCGTTCTGGCTCGGGATCGGCGAGATGGCCGTCAGCACCGCGGTGCAGTACAAGGGTGCGGAGAATGTCGACAAGGACCAGCAGTTCCGGATAGGGTTCTGGACGGGGGTTGCCCTGGCGGCGCTGGCTTTCGTGCTGTTGATTACTGTGAGGATGGGCAAGGCGTCTGCTGCGCTGACGGCGGATGAGAAGGCGGAATTGGAGACGGTCGAGACGGTCGAGAGAGGGCAGGATGGCGGAGAAAAAGGCGGCACAAGGGCCGGTGACCCAGCCGGTGTAACGAAGGCTGGGTAGATAACCAGACGATGATCACCCTGGTTGATTTTACTGCTACTTTTGACGGAAATGGCACTTACGACCTATCACGAAATAATGAACGAAGGTAAGACGAAGAAAATTCATAGACTTGGATGGTTTATAAATAGAATTAAACAGGCATGATAATACCCTTCTTGTTAAAAACGTTTGTGATCAAATTCTCGTAGTGAAAAGCAGAGGTTGAAGTGCAAATTAGCCCATCGTGATGGCCAGAAACAGGCATACAAAACAGAAAATTATCCAAAAGACCGTCCCTTTAATGGCGGATGGACGTATAAAAAACCCCATCCCCATCACGCATTCAAACACTGTTCGTAAAGTCGTAAAATAAGCCACTCTTAGTGCGATCGCCGGCGAGAGCGTCCGTCTATATCGGAGGATTGAGGAACTCTAATGAAGGGACAACGGGGGCTCGGATCCGGGAGCAACTAATGCGTGGCGTCTTTAAGAGTCAATAACAACAAGGTAGGTTAGCGATATGCAAGTGAGGGGAGGGGTTTGGGGAGAAGGGCGAGCCGTCTTACAGTATCGAGCCTCCCAGGACTTATGCGGGTCGACGGTGCTCTTGTGGACTTCGGTCTTGAACTTCCTGTATTCCTCCTTGACGGCTGTCTTGAAGCTTCGAGGACCGGAAGATGAAGATGAACCTTTTGTAGAGGATATGTGTTAGCCGCCATTGATGGAAAAACCCAATGGGGGTCGATGTATGTGTGCATGTATTGCCAATTGGTGTTACTGTACCTGACTTGGGGTCCACGAGAGTGATTTCAGAAGCGGCGTCTGAGGTGACGGCTGGGGTCTTCTTGCTGGAGAGTGTGGGAGCCATGGTGAAGGTGTTGGTAATTGTGATGGAATATAGTATGTATTTGCTGGATGCCGAGAGTAGCGATGGAAAGACGAGGATTGAGACGCAGAGGCACGTGATCAAGAGTCAAGCAAGTAAGTAATGGATGTGTCTTGTGATGAATTATTTCTCTCTTGATAAGGCGCAGGGCCAAGCCTATTATATATGCATACTAGATATCGGGACAGCATCGCCAACCAGTCCGGAGCATGCTTAGTCCTCCCTGATGGCCGCCAAATGCCAATGGTCTGGTCAAGATCAGCCCGTGGACACTCACACGCTGCTCGGATCAGATACCCTGCCTGAGGTGCATACACGGCAGATTGAGTCACACGGCCGGTGACAAATCAAGATGGAGCCTGCCTTGGTGGAGAGAGCGAAGTTTATTTGGGCTAAGCTGGCGCTTGGAGGAGCGTTGCGTGCGCACCTTCACACCACATGGCGATGGAGGCCCAGGGACGGCGTTCGGTAGCGAACCGTCGCTAGTCAGTGGGGGCTGTTAGTGCTTCGCAGCACATGGGTGCGCGCCCTTGGGCGAACCTACAGCGGTTTAGGCCAGTAGCCGGCCAGTCTAGCTCGACACCGAAGCCGAAGCCGAGCACCGCCGTCTGCCTCCCTCCATTCTCCCACTGCTGATTGTCTGATGTGATTATCCATCTCTCATACATCCATTCCAATGACCAATTCGCTTCGCCCTGCCCAAGACACAGCCGCAGATATTCCCACTTTTTGCTGTCCGTCTCCGTCTCCGTCTCCGTCTGTGACTCCGCGTCTCCATCGTATCCTGGAAACCCAATTTTAACTCCTCGACACGCTCTGTACGCATCGATGGCCTGACAACTAACTGCCCTGTGATCCCTCCTTGCTGTACATCTTCTCCCTCGATGCAAGACGAGGCGGACACGCCTCTCCTTCGGCGTCTCAATGGCCGGCCCCAGGCCTGTGATCCTTGCCGGCTCCGAAAGGTAGCCTGTGACCACACGCAGCCCGTATGCAACAGATGTCGCAAACGCAACCAAGCCAGTGCCTGCGTCTACACCATCGGCTCCACCACGGCGTCGGCATCGGCCTCGACCAAGGTCATCTCAACCTCCACTGCAAGCCCCAAGGTAGCTAAGAAGTCGTCAGCAGGGCGCGCACGTCTGCGGCCAGCATCATCTCCGGTATCGTCATCGCTGCCGGCAGCCTTGTCATCGTATGAGACCCACCCAGCGGCACATGTAGCCGGCTCCAGACGACCTACTCCCACTCGAACCGGCATTGAATTTGCTGCTCCTCACAGCTCCAATCACCCTAGTGCCCAGTCTTCCACACCATCAAACGAGAGCGTTTGTGCTAGTGGTACGACGGCGGTGACGACCGCCTCTCCAAATCACCATCGTCAGCATCGCTATGACTCCTCCTCGCTTGCATCACCCACCGCACATCTCCTCCCCCCTTCCCGCCTCGGCCCTCTAGGCTTCACCAGCTACTCCGCCGTCTACGAAGAGGCTCGCACCAGGCTCTCCTGCCTGCAGGGCCAACCTTCGCCCCTCCCGGGCAATGACCGCCTCAAGCCGATCCGCGCGGGCGGCTTCCCCTGGGTAATGTCAGCAGCCACCCGGGCGAACTGCCATGCTCTTCTCCGCGACTTGCCCGACCTTGACCTAGCGCAAGCTCAGGCCAACATTTCCTTCAAGAATAACGACAGCTGGGCCCAGATAGCTGCGGGTAAGATTCTCGCAAGCTTTCGCGCCACTCTAACTCACAGATCTGACTCGCAGATCGAGAATCTTGCCCAGTTAATGTCCACCAACACACTGAAGCAAGTTTCCGATGACCTTGCCGACCCCAATGACTGGATTGACCAATTCGTGGGCCCCAATCTGAGATGGGAGTCACTGGGCTTACTCTTTACCTTTCCCGAGCTATTCTCAGGTGGTTGTGGAGTGGAGGAATGCGCCAGTAGTTGGTGGCACCGTATATCGTTCAAGCAAGCCGTCCTGGAATGGCTCGACATCTGCCTCGGTTTATGTCTCTGCATGGCTGGGGGCAACTTGATGGTATTACACATATGCTCGAAGCGTTCCTTCCTTGAGTCAGTCACGCTCGGCGACGCAGGCCTCGAATGCTGGAGAGCCAATGCCGATGCTGTAGCTGTGTCGACCTACCTTGGTCTGTATACGGAGCCAGAGCAGTCCAACTACACGCCGACTTTTTGCTCCGAACTAAGGCGCAGGCTCTTTGCAGTCGCGTACACCACTGACAAGGTGATCGCCTCCTTCCAGGGACGACCGCCGCTTCTGAGCAACCGGTATGCGTCCACTCCGCCGCCACTAGACATTTCCGATAAAGATTATTTCGCCGGGACAGCATCTCTAGAGAAGTCTGTCCGGGCTCTCGATAAAAATGGATGGAAAACAACTGGCGACTTTAGTGCCACGACCATGATTCGAGCACGCGTCATCATAGCCCACGTCAGGGATGATCTGCTCGAGATAGCCCTCGGCAGCAGCAAGCAACCCAAGGTTAACACTTTAATGTAAGCCAAATGCTTTTTTTTTTTTTTTTTCATTTTGCCCCGGAACTTCCTTATCCCACCGGTGTAGCTGACGTGAAGATAGAGAGATCAAGGAACGCGAAGCAGCTCTCATCGCTGAGCTCCCCCCTGGGCTAGCCTATGATCCGCATGAGCTCGAGGACCCCAGGATGAACGCCGACACAGCGTATGCGAAAACGTTGGTACAGATTGAGCACTTGCAGAATCTTTTCTTTGCTGAGCGTCTGCTCCAGCGGTATGGGCAAGCCCAGGAAGGAGAATTACTGACCATTAGTTATGAAATGGTCACACTCACACTCAACTTCTGGATCCACAAAGACTCGTTTACAAAAGCTCGCATAGACTTTCAGTGGCTTGTAAGTATCGATTAGCTTGATGGCAGCCAGCGACGTTGCTTCTTAGTGCCGAGACTAAAAAAAACTGCCAGGTCATGGCCTACGCCGCTCCCGGCGGTGGCATCCTTTGCATGGAGCTTCTCAAACCAACCTTCTCCGGCCCCCATCCACGCGACCCCAAGGTCACCCGATCAAGCATCATCCAGCAACTGAGTCTGCTGGTCGGGTTCCTCAGCTGGGTGAGCCCCGACGCCCCGAACTCCGACCTCTGCGCCAGCTGCAAGACCGTCATCCAGCACGTCCTGGACCACACGCTGAACAACCCCCAAATCGAGTCGAGTTCGAAGCCGTTAGAGCCTTTCGAGCAACCGGATGCCTACCAGCCATACTTCAACTTCGATTTGCTGGATACGTTTGACTGGCTTCGTGCCGACGACTTTATTGGGGACACGCTGTAATTTCGAGGTTTCGGCCGAGAATAGTCACTCTACAGACCCCGTCGCCTTCACAACAACCCAGCTCATCCATCCGTCTTATTTAAACTTCACACGCTCAACACAACACAATATAATATCCATAACACGAAACTCAAGCCGTAAATTATCCTCGAAAGCTACACGGCTTAGTCCTTGTACATCCGTCCACACACAACTATATGCCCAATCAAGCTTTGCTTCTTACCTATGGCTATAGATCCACTAAACGAATCAAACCATGTATGATCAATGAGGACATCATCACGTATGAACTAGAAATCTGTATAGAAGTACATTACAAAACTTGCAATTATGTTAATTTTAGTTTATCCAGAGTCCGGGCGCATCGAAAGATCAAATGAATATAGAATGCACGAAAAGTGAAGGTATACCCCCGAGCAATGTGGCATTCTAAAAGCCAACTCCACCCCCATAGATCTAGAAGAAACTTCAGGCAGTGTGTGAAGAGCAGAGGGTAGCTCTAAAAGTCTGACATCTGTGTCCGCCGCAGCCGCAGAAGCAGAACCACAGCAATTTTTACCCCTCTGGAAGTGTTGTCAGGCATTCAATGACATCGTTTTATGCAGCTTCAAGCAGCCACTATCTTATGTGCTTACGTATCATAGAATCAAAAGCCAATAGGAGCACTTCGTGCCCCTTGCGTTGTTTCTTACTACATTAGCACAGCGATTTTAACATCCCCAGAGGGGTTGTCGAACCCAGAGTTACTCTTTTGCACAACCCCGGCCGTCATCATCTAAATATTCTAATGCGCCACGTCAAAAAACAAGGCACGGCGCTGACCAGTTTGTACGGCTGATTGCGGACCAATAAACTGCTCCTGGACAACAATCATGACCTGCTCAGAAGGGCCGTCAGGCATCAATGTTGCCTTTTTGCACAGCCTCGAGCACCCACCAACCAATATTCCCATGTGCCGGAAACGAAATGTAATACGCTGACTTGCTAGGACCTGACTTAGTAAAGCGCAGTGGGATCACCTGCGGGTATGGAAGCCACATGCATAGCACAGCAATTTCAACCTCTCGAGAAGGGTTGACGGACCTCAAGCTGCCTACTCTTTGCGCAGTTGGGAGAAGTTGCCGGTACCTCTCTTCGCTCGACGCTTGTGTCAAGTCTCTTTTTATCGCCCTACCTTGGTATAGAAAGAAACAAGTCGGACCTCCAAGTTGCCTTTTAAACCACCTTGGACCTTTAGGAATATATTACGGATTTGCAGCACGTCGCCGACTTGGATGTGTTGGATTCTGGAGGGCGACGAAGCTGAAGCGTCTCTCCCTGGCGTGTTACCCACCCCTCCTCCTGCCCGAAGAAGTAATTTGGTCTGATTAATGTGGTCAGCCCCCTCCTAGCACAGCAATTTTAACCACTCCCGAGGGGTTGTCAAAGATCAACTGCCCTTTTGCACAGCCCTTTCCCGAAGTCCCGAGTCATCCCTGTTCAGATGCTCTAGCACACCAGAACGAACCGCATCACATGGGCTGGCTGATCAAACCCACCTGACAGTCCAGAGCCGTGCGAAAGTGCAGCTTGAACCCAACAAGCCTTCTGGGGATGTTGAAGCTGCTGTGCCCGAACAAGAGAATGGCGAATAAACGGGGAGTATCCCTA